AGTACTGACAAGTTTGTAAAGATCTATAATAATTACAAATCTATTTCCACTTTTTCCATAAATGACATCCATTATTTTATATTTTTTATAGATAATTCAAATAAACTCACAAGTAACCTAAAAGAGGATAATCTGCAACTTCTAATATCAAAGTAAAATTTCTACAAAGAAAACTAATTTACTCTCTTTAAAAAAAAATAGGATTTAAAAAACTAAAAATTAGTTTTAAAATGGATAGTCTGCAACTTTCAAAATATATCAATAGAAGTAAAATAATTCATTTACTTTTAAAATAAAATAAGAATAATAAAAGAATATTCTTATCAAATTATCAAGAATATAAATTTCAAAGAACTAAAAGATCAATAAATTCTTAAGTTACTTATAAAGACTAGTAAATCATTCAAAGATAGTATAATATTAAACTAGAATTGTTATTTCTAAAGACAAGAAAACTAAGAAGCCTTGAAACAAGACTAAGAACTAAAAAGATGTTGATAAGAGTAAAAAAGGCTTTAATCTTGCCTCCATATATACTATCTAACTAGAAACTATGTAGCAATGTTCTATAGAACCTCCAATATATGTTCAACTTTTCAGACACATGTCTTAACTTACAAGCCAAGTTTTCTATATGTACATCACATTGTTAACTTGTACCACAAGCTGCTTATATGTCTAAGACATGGCTAACTTGTTGGCCAAGTTTCTAATTTACCAATCAACTATAAACATGTTTAAAATCAAATATGCATCTATAAAGCTTTTAAGATACTTTGCCATAAGACTTTGTAGATTTTTGTATTAAATTAGTAATCTACTTCTTTATATTATGATTGTTATCATTAGCTATTATATAGAATTTTGATATATTTACTAATTTGAGATTTTTTATATAAATATATTTTTAAAAATTAAATTAATTTTTTATATTTTTTTAAAAAAATTTAATCTATTTAAATTTATTATTTAATAATGATTATATATTTTAAACTATAGTTATTTTTTTGGATATTTTTTTATATTTTGAATATCTATTCTTATAGGATCCTTCCATTCTTTGTATCTAGAATCAAAATTTCTTTACTATGTGACTTAATTTGTATAAATTTAGTTTTGTGCAAAGCTCTTATAATCTTTGATTTTGTAATATGCTTTAAAAAAAATGATAAATCTAATGATTTCTAAATAATTAGTAACTTATAGTTTAATCTTCTACCATATTCTTTAAATTTAAGCTAAGAAAATTTTATACTTATAAAAGCTAATATTGTCTTAAGATCTTTTAAATTTTATTTGATATTTTTTTCTTTTAATTTAGGGCTACTTAAAAAAATCCATTATGGCTTCTTTGTAGCATTATTCAAGTAATAACATTAATTGCTTTTATGTCCCTCACATTCTTTTATAATTTATATAACTCTAAAATCAAAGATAGATTTCAATGCTTAAAAGGTACACATCGTAATAATTATACAATAAAAAGTAAAAAAAATCTAAATTATATGTACATATATATATATATATATATATAAACTTTAATATATATAGTCTATTAAAAATTGGTTTTTAGATCAATTTTTTTCTTTATTTTTTAAAAATATATCTTAACCACCACACTATGATAAAATATAAGTTTATATTTTTTAAAAAATAAAAAAAACTATAAATTAACGAGTATACTTCTCCCACAAATTGTGCTACAACATCCTAGCTTCATAAATTAATCTATTTTGGCTCAAAAAATCTAATTACCAACCTTTACTTTGGAAGATTTTGTTCACAGCAAGAAACCAACATAAATGCATTAAAAACTTAGGAGGAGATTTATCTAGTATTTGTTAAGTGTGGCCAACTGCTTCTTTAATGCAAATTAAGTAATTCCAATATTTCACTATTTAAGAACAAATAGTTGGCTGTATTTTTATTTTATTTTATTTTATTTTTGAAACATCAAGGAGTTAACCTCTTGAGCATAGGTTTCCGTCAGCCATGAAGGAGATGTTTACAACTAGGGATCAAATCCCCAACCTCTGCATTTTCTTTGGGTATCTTATGCTGTCATCTGGTAGTTTAGGATCATCTAGGACTGTTGTATGTGAATCCTTAGCTTGAGCATGTTATTTCACCATGTGATTTTTGTCTCTGCAAAAGACACCTTTTTTTACTTGATTTTCATGGGCTGTTATTGTCAAACCCTGACATACTCTTGATGTGTCAGGAATTTTAAAATAAAGTAAAATGAAAAATCCATCACTCAAAATGCGAATTGTTGATTACGTTAACATTTGTTAAATATGCTATCATAAAAAATTTAAAAAGTAAAATAAATAAATAAACTACTAACTTTTATTCCTTAACCTTGTTAGTTGCAAGTACATCCATAGCCATGCTATTTTTTGTATGACATGAACAACCTTCATACTATTGTAAAACTCAAAGTATCAACATGCATCCAATATGATGCTTTATATTTTTATATTGCTTCTTTATTTTTCTTGTAGATTAAAATTTGAAAAAAGATATTTATATTCATTTATTTATATTTATATTTATATTCTTTTATAATTTTATATAACATATAAAATATCATATCATATATATATATATAGTGTAACAAATCAAAAAAATCATATATATATATATGTATGAAATAAATTCTTGATTATTTACATGTAATTAATTGGAGAGAAGATAATAATTAAAAATAATAATAATTACAATAAAAACGATGATATTATTAAATGCATAGGTACTATAAGAAATGATCTAAATAATTCAATTTTTCACAGTTCTATCTGACTTGGATGTTTTATTTACAACTATATATATATATATATATATATATACATATTAAATCTATGATTTTTTATATATTTATATTTATTTTTAATTCTTTAGTGTTTTTTAGTTTGATTATGTATGTATGTATGTATGTATGTATGTATGTATGTATGTGTATAAAAAATCCTATCACTTCAACTTATTTTCTTAAAATATCTATGTCTCTAGAAACCATAAAATTATTTGAAAAAAAATATTTATAAAATCAAAACCATTTGTATACCATTGGTGTATATAAAAATTACACAATATATTACACAATATATTACACAATGAAGTTACACTTACCAAAAGGTAACAATAGAAAAAAATTCATTATTTTCAGGTGAATTTTTTTTTAAATCAAATTGAGTAAAGTTTTTTGATAATTAAGTAGTATTTTAATGTATGAAAATCATAGATACACATACTTACATACATATATACATACAGAAAGTGTTTACAGTTTTATTTCTTCTAAATATATAAAAATAAGTCAAATTAATTTAAGTTCTTCTTCAATATGGTATGTTGGGTTGTGTCATACAGTTAAAATTTTCTAGGAAATTTACAGTTCCTGACTATTTCACATGCCTTCATATAATTGAATAAAATAACCTCATGAGGTACCAATTGCAAATAAAAATTGTACTTGGCTCCACTTTGATAGAAAAACCAGAATTTTAAATTTACCAATTTTTTAATATTTCTTAATATAACAATATACTTTATATTTAAAACTTTTAATACAGTATTTAAATTTTGATAAGACTATTTTATTTTATTTTATTACATTAATAATATGTTTTAACATGTTATTCCTAAGACAAAGGGTTTGAATGCTAATGTGCTTATATATATATATATATATATGTGTGTGTGTGTGTGTGTGTGTGTGTGTATATATATATACGTATTTAAAAATAAATAAATAAATGTTGTAAAAAAAAGCATTTATGCATAGGTTAATTTAACAATTTGCAATCAACTCTCCATTTATTCTTAGTTTGATCAGATATGAATCAATTTTTTTCAAAACATGCAACATGTATTTTAATCTGAACATATTCAAGTAACATTAAAATTTATATGATAATAAACCATTTACGCCATAAAAATATATCACAATGCATTGGATTTTTAAGTCATCACTTTGGAAACTGAAAAAGATTACATCAGCAGTAAAAAGTATATATTCATATATATAGAGAGATATAAAGTCTTTGTACCAAAAAGATGTTTCTGTTGTAGTAATTTTCTCAAGGAAAAAAAAGGTTTTCATAATGATCATATACTCAAAGGCCACGTTGTCATTCAAATTTAACAACACAAAGTTAAATATAAAATTCAATATTAGTGTATTGTCATTCTATGTGTACATACAATACTTGCAATTTTTTAAACGATTTCTTTGGTGCAACTATGACAATTCTTTTGCATACAAATGGCAGAAAATTAATTTATGGAATCCACATTCCATGCTTTGTTTTACTGGTTTTCCCTCATACCCATATATTTGCCAATTGCCAAATATATTCATGCATGTGGAATTTTTGGGCCATTCAAAAAACTAATTCATACAGTAATTTCCTTTTAGATTTAAAGTGATCGAAACCTACACTTCGGAATACTAAAAAATTAGTTACCGTTTTAAACGATACAGTGAACACGCAGTTGTGACATGTATTGTTGATTATGGTTATACATGATAGACTTCTCTTTCTATGAGGAGAGCCACACATGACATGTTGAGTTTGCTTTTGTAAGAGCAGCTTGCACCGATGCCAGTATGCTATAGTTTGAACAGTTCGACATTCATCTTGCTTTTAATCCTCGCCAAAGAATGCAACATTTTCAAGGCCCTTGACTTCACAAAACTTGATACACTCCACTTATCACAATCATGCGCTGGAGACAACTCCTAATTCCATCAAGTCATCGATTCATGAATTATATTCCTTACCGACTGCCCTTCCCACTTATGTGCAGACTTATACAAACGTCGATAATTAACTTTCGAGAGCTCAAAAGATTGAAACCTAATCCGACTCCAGTTGACATCCTGGTGGTCGCTCCAGGACCCTAGTCAACGCATGAACTTGCAAGTTTTCAGGCTTGGATACCGATAACATTCACGCAGTTACGACGATGTCCACGAGTTCAGCACTATGTGCATATTCAGAGTTCAATCTCGGCTTAGCAAAAATGGTGACTGATCAAAGCTTTGTACAAAGGTTGTGTGTAGCGTAATACTGCAACAGGAGAGCAAAAAAAATGATACTATTTGCTCTCGATTCTACTCTGTCGAAAACGCCCCTTGCACTATTGAGTTTTTGTCTTTCAACGATTTCGATCGTCTGAAACATATTTGATTGCTTACAAGAGAAAGTGACGGAAGGATATAGTTATATACATTATGCACAATGACAATGTCACAACAGCTTCTCTGGATGCTCTTCCTAATCTCATGTGTACACTGACGTATCCGTGAAGAGCTTCAACAAATCTACGGAGATACTGGAGCTCGAATTGTTACCGTAGCGGAAAGGGAAGGCCTGTTCAGTGATGTCGGAAGCTAAGGCCTGGCTTGATTCAAGATCACATCCCCAGAGCGTTGTAGTCCATCGACGCCTCCAACAGAACCGGAAGGGACTGATGTGCATCATAAAATGCATGATGAAGTAGAGAACTAACGTGAACCCCAGCACTGGAATACCCATCGTTGCATAGATACTCGTCGCCACTGATATCAGACATACATGAGAAGGAGGAATCAGCAGCGTCGCAATGAGGAAACAGCCAATCTCCGCTCATGAAGCACTCACCACACCCACCATCTTGGGTGCCTTGGCAGGCAGTTGACGTCCTCATGGCAAGCTCACGCGTCACGTCCACCAGTTCATCCTCCATATCATTCGCTACCATCCCTGGATCAGTGTAGTATTGCCATGCGGCTGGAGGCTCGCACAGATTCCTCCAGCTTTCCGCTCGATCATGAGTGACGTCGCTCCATGTAGCGTTCTGTGTCAAGCCAGGCCGGGGTTCATCCAAGCACGGCTGTGCATATACTGGTCGCGGAGCGTTGTGCATCGCAGAGCTGACATTGGGTGGTAAGATGCTCTGCAAATTATCCGGGTTTCGATTGGAGCTGGAGGTGTTGCAAAATGTCACTCCAGCTGCAGAGCCTGGCTCTGAAGACTCGACTGAGGAGGGGATGAAGCGTGCGGAGTCTGGTGAAGTGGCAGTGTCAATGTAGGAGGACACTACCAAATTACTGGATGAGTCTTCGGAGTAGGAGACTTGGGTTGATAAGAAACACTGGCTCGAGTCAACGAGGCGGTTGTCCGGGGAACTTGAACTAACTGTGAGAGTTTCCTTATCAACTGTGACGTATTTTGAGACCACTTGAGAGAGGGTACCCGGCCCATGCTCATAAAACTTCGACGAGCTGGAGGCTCGGGAGATTTGACCACTCTCGCGGCTACGCAGAGGACCACCGCTCTCAGTCAAGGATGACTCATTGGATGCCGATATCTCGTGATAAAAACTTGGTTGGCTTCCGATGCAAGTAACCTGCAAGCACGAGCAGGGAATTAGGGATCGAAAACCAAGAGCGTGCAACTATGTCAACCAATTCGCGGACATCGACCTCGGTGGCTAATCGAGTTCCTAGTAATTCTCGCCCCAAGGTACAGTTCCACAATGATCGAATTGGCTTAAGGGACCAGGTGATTACCTCGGGATGTGATACTTCAACTATGGCACATTCACGTCCTTCACACAACACAGATTTTCCACCAGTATTCTGCTCCAAGCTTTGACTGAGGGCAGATTCTCTGACATCGAGAACCGCCCACTGGTCTCTTCTCCCAGAGCTTCTTCGGACATCCGTCACCTTGCCGCAGGCATGTTGGTTCAGCAGATCGCCATCCTCATGCAACGATTTCCTTGGTCGAGGATCACTGATGGCGCTCGCTAGCCTCTCCACTGTTTCATACATGTGCCTGAAAGCTGGTTCACTGGAAGGGTCCAGCAACGTATCCATCGAACCCAGCATGAAGTTGCGGCTGGAGAGAGCAGCACCGTCATTTTTCCCATCAGGCATCAAGGTCATGCTCCAGTCCAAATTCCGACCTGATTTACCACCATGCACACCCCCGAAGAAACCTTCTCCCTTCGATTGCCCGGAGGCTCGCGAAGCTGCGAGCGCGGCTGACATCAAACAGGTCTGGTGCGTTGGGTACACAAAGTTGGTCCTTGCTTTCAACCCGCGCATGGATCTGGCGGCCAAATCGTATGCCACTGCAGCTTGCTCGGCAGTGTCGAACGTCCCCAGCCATCTCCTCTCCCTCGTATGCGGGTCTCTGATCTCCGCAGCATACCGACCCCAGGGCCTTCTCCTGACTCCCCTGTACTTCCCCTCTTGCGGTTTTTTAACCTTCTTCGACCCGCCCTTCCGCTCCAGCGCTCGCACACCCATCACTCCAACTCAAATAAAAACACTAACTCAGCTACCAAGCCTCACCAACCTCCACAGCGAAAAAAGGAAAAGAAAAAGGAAACCCGTCTGTTTGTCAGTGATGCACGGGTAACCACATCGCAGCAGGTATCTCCAACTTGTGGGCTCAAGTGTGTGTGTGTGTGTTCGCCGAATGTAAACCTCGATAAGGAGAAAGGGTAATTTCCAGGCGCAGACACGGGAGGTGCACTCACGACCACGCGAAACCGAGCGCTTCAATTCTTCAACCGCAGAACCTTCCCCTTATCAGCGATCAATCGAAGCTCGCAGCACATGACTTGACACAAAGCTCGGAGACCCACCCACCCAGCCTTCAACCGAACCCAAAACAACCACCACAGCCTTACAGGAGATCGATCGATGATCAGAGACCCTGTTTCTGTAACCGCCCCAAACGCGACCCGATTCCCAGCAGCGAAGTGAAGTGAAGTGAAGGCACTTGGAACTGATTGCCGAACAGGGTGAGCTGCTTTGGAGCTGTGCAACAAGCCCATACAACACGTGCATGCGAGAAGACGTGTAATCAGAAATGATGCCCCCCGAGCATTTATGTGGGAGACAACATGCGATGGAAGTCGAAGGCGCGTTTCTCCCCCACCCCGGGTCCTCCCCCCCTCACCACCCGCAATAGAGCGACTTTGGGAAGAGAACAGAAGATTCTGTTCTGTGCGGCAAAGTGAGAGAGACCCTCCTCATCCTCCTCAATCGGGAAAACGGAGACTTAAATTCGGGGTCTGACACGAAGCAGACGCAGTAGAAGCAGACGAAGATGAGAATTGGTCTGTGACCTGCTCCTCCGGTCCCTGCCAGAGAATAATGTCGGACAAGCGGTAATGGCCCACATATATTCCCCCACCCCACTCCAACAAAAACAACCAGCCCTCTTTCCTTTACAATCACCGAGGTTTTAGCTCCATTGCTACTGCTACTACAATCCACCACAGCAGATATTAACCACACTGCCCATCCCCCACTTCATGTATAAAAAATATAAATAAATGAAAAAGAAAGTTACATACTCCCATTCCCACTGGCGAGTTTCGTGTCTGTGGGTTTGTTTTACAACGATGGTTGGGAATTAGGGTTTCGGGGGGAAGTAGAACATAGGCACAGGCTTATGGGAATCTGGCATGTAACGTGGGATTTAACCTTAACCACCCTTTTCTCTCTTTTTGATTTGTTTTGTTTTGTACTTTTGGGTCTGGTCCAGGAATTGTCATTATTTTTGGCACCCACTACTACTATGTTGGTTTGTTTGTGTTTTTATTACATGAATGGCATCCATTGACCCTTGGTGTGATTTGGTAAGTGACTTATGTTGATGTTTCAGTGTTGCCTTGTGCACTAGAAGATCAAAAAATGAATATGTAAACACTGTTGTGTGTGGGGTTCTATATGTGTATGTGTGTGTGTTTTTCGTTTTTTTAATACCTATAATCGTTTTTTATTGTATGGCCCACAACTCCACATGATTGTTTTTTAAAAATTAAATTAAATTAAAATTTTCTGTTTGCCCTCACCTTCAGAATGGATCTAGTGCTTGGGGAGTGGTGGCCAAATGATTGGGGCCAATGGGTTGGTACAAAGGGAGTTAGAGAGAGAAAAAAGAGAGAGAAATGCAGGGTTTTAATGACATCATTCGATGAACCACGCCTTCTATCAAATTAAATTTAAAATTTAAAATTAAATAAAACATACTCTTTTGAGTACCATCCATCATTCCATCCATCCATCCATTACCCATTCCATCTATCCACTCATTCATCATTTGCAGCATGGCTCCACATTATGATGTGGAATGTGCATGCATTGCAATCTAGTGGATTTCCCTATTGAAGTGAAATGGCAGGATTTAGTCATGTATTGGGAATTTTGGCTCTCAAATGCCCATTACTACTCCAAGAGATTTTATGTGAACAAGAACAAGAGAATGATTATCAATGTGTGTGTATATCTCTCTATATATATAGAGAGAGAGATATATATATATGTAAACAACTTTAAAGGAAAAGGCATGTACAATAATGGACATTGCATGAATGGGGAAGAGTGTGTTAATCTTATTGTTCAGAAAGGACTGGCATCAATCCAATGACTTGCTGGGTCTATATATGAATTAACATGGTTCTTTAGAATTAAAAAAATAAATAAAACTAGTGTCAAGTATTTCATTATTATTGTTACTGTAATGGTTTGTCAAACAAGTCTTTCTTATTTTTAAACTCTGAATGGAGTCAATGATCATGCTTAAGGCATATTCACCTGCAACAGTCTTTCTTAGTCTATTTGACCAAAATATCTTCAATTGTATCTGTGCCTTACATGTTTAAAATCATTGACATGACTTCAAAATCAAGTACATTGTGCAATCTTTTTGTGCACAAGAACCACAATAAATTGATATTCATTTATCATCTAAATGAAGATTTACATCCCTTTGTTCTCTGCTGAGTACTCAAATCGGCTTAACTAAGTCTTATAATGCACAAAATACTTTGTAGTAACACCTCAACTTCAAGCTATTTCTGCTCACCTGGGATCTTTTAGAGTATGAGAGACCTGAGAATCTTGTTCCAACAATGGGCACTGTACCAATAAGTTTATTTTTGAAATAAAAATAAAAAAATAAAATCACAAGTTAAGATATGTATCTAGTATCTTTTGTGTGTGTGTGTGTGTATATATATGTATATATATATATATATATATATATAATAAAGGCAAAAATTTCTATTTGTATTTTACCAAAATTTTATCTTGTGGTTTTTAAATCAGTACATCATGTAGAATTATAAACAGGATTAAAATAATAATAATATTATTAATAATAGGAATGAATTGAAAACAAAAGGGCTTTTAACATCAGCATCTGAAGAAGAAGAATAAAATATAAAAATATAAAAAATATGGTGATGATGACATCTGATGTTTTTGATGAAGTGATGTTTCCGGATAATGTGAGAAATGAAAGCTTTTTGCCTACAAAAAGTATAGTATCAAGTGGGTTCCATTTTTTTTAATCATTATTTGAATTAGTGTTGATAAATTCATGAAACAACGAGCATGAGTTGGTGGAGAGATTTGAGCAGGAGTTGTTGTGATACTTTTCTATATATACGTATGTAGATATATATAGATATATATATATATATATATATATCTATGAGAAAAGGAGGGCAATCTCTTTTGGGAATTCACTAGATTTTGGTGCCCAACCCCACAAATTCTACTATATAGGGCACAATTCCAGAGGAAAATTCTTGAGCAGATTAAAAATACTTTAATATTACAGAAGAATGAATAAAAAATGAGAGGAATGATCAAAGCACCACTTAGCCGCAATATATGCAGTCTTAAATTATTGTGAATGATTTCGTGAATGGATGAATGAATGAATACTCTAAACAATGCAGATCTGGGTATTTAAAGCAGGAGGCAGTTGCTTATATGTTTCCTAATACAATTCGTTTACTGAATTTATGAGAATTTCATTAAATTCATCCTTCGATATATGTATGCATGTATATATATACATATTGTTGCAATGAAAGCTTGACATTTAATGCATTTTCTGATACATTTGCTTCACTGTATTGCACAGAGAAACGATCGTTTTCAATTATTTTCTCATAAAAACTTATTTTTTGACTCATTAAATAAAGAATTGAAAAAGGGAATAATATATATCACAACAACAAGCAGAGAAATATTTTGCATGCAACCGTAGGATCTTTGTGCTTAAGGAAACATGAACAAAGTAAGAGGTCACAACTTTTAAAACCCTTTAATTTGATGAAATTGAAATGCCTTTAATTTTAGCCAACTGAAAGATTAAAAACTTGTAACTTTTCACTCGTGAGTACAACGACCCCCAAATCATGAATAAAAATGTCAATGAAGATTCAAAACAATGATTTTCATTTCTTTCTTATTTCTAACAAGTTGTTACTAATCAAAATTTTAAAAGAAACAATTAAAATTGTTATATTGCAATAAAAAGTAAAGTAGGAACCAAAACACAGACGGTAAGAAGAGGAGTAATGAAGGAAAAGTAAAATAAACGACAGCACTGAAACATGAATAATAGTGATAATCATTTGAAGAGGCAATATTTGTCACATTTGTTGCAGAAAAGAACAAGTGGTTGGTTATTAGGTTCTGGTACCACACTAATATTGACTGCCATTTCCTGATTTTATCCAAGCATTTAATCACAGTCTTATTCTATGTCTTCACTTATTGCTAATCGGCACACATGAGCATTAACAGAAAGGGATTTCAAAGCCGCCCATTACTTCATGAGAAAAGCGCTCTAGACACACAAAAACTCACCGATATTGTTTCCTTTCCTACGCATTGCATATTTAACTAACAAGAGCCTAATTATATATATATATATATATATATGTATGTATAAATGCCACTTTGCTTTTGACCAACATGTCCACGGATTTGGGGTTTTTTTTTTCTTCTTTTTCTCTTTTTCTTTTTTGGGTTCTGGTTGTGCTTCCCTAAGTGGAGATTACCCCGAATGGAAACCCATAAGGCCTTCAATTCACTGCCGTGTTGGCAGAATACAACGCTCACTTTTCTGGAAAAAAATCAGTTCCAAACAAAGATTGTTTGGTGTCACCTGCAAGTAGTTCAGATCCTGCCACAGCCTTTCACACCCCATAACTTGTACCAAAGATTGCAGTGTTTTTTTGGAAGGATTAACATCAGATACTGCTAATTAATCCCCCTAAACCAGGTCTGAGCTGGAGCAGCCCATGTGACACAAGGGCCTCGGGGACGGACAATCGATGATGAAGAACAAGCGGCAAGGAAGCTGGTTTACTTCTGAGATTGAAGGCCTCTGACATGATCTAGAGCCCCCCTTGCGAATCAACAGTGGAAATACTGCACAGTGATGCAATTCGAAAGAGGGGGGGGGGCTCGTAGGATGCTACGTTCAGGTCTTCGCGAGATCAGATTCGGTCAAATGGTAGTAAACGATCTGTAGAACGACGAGAATCTGATACTTTACTGCAATCGAGACGATCTTCCATGACATCAGAAAAAGAAAAAAAAATAGAGTATCCCCCCCCCCAAAGGTTGTACACCATTGTAAAGGTGCCCCTCTCCACACACACCTTGTTCGACGTCTTTTCATTTCCTGAGGTTTTTTTCTGTTTACCTGCTTCGCTGATGCGAGGTCAAATTGGCTAACCAACACTAGCTAGGTTGCTGAAAATATCGAAACCATGTTGGTGGGGTAAAATGAAATACAGCGTGGAAGAGGATTGTTTAACTGCTGTTGCAGGTCAGCGAGGTTATCTGTGCAACTATCCACTTGCAACGTTTCATGCATCCGACTAGGAGCTGAACCTACGGTGAACGATCCAACACTCTCTCTTGTCCATCCATCGATTGGGCTCGGATGTTGATGAATGAGAACGTTGCCGCTTGGTGCGGTTGTCAGCGTCGATGGAACCACATGATTCTGACCCTGGAAAAGCTTTGGCGAAAAGCTGCCAGCCAGAGTGTGAAGATGAGAACTTGAACGGGCACTAACCTCCATAACCGCCATTGTGGGGCTCCTTCCTTTCATCAGATATTGTGGCTCATTCGAAATCCTGCATTCACGTCCTACTGTTCTGCCTAAACGGGAAAACTATGGGGAGACTATAAGCCTCCAGAGCGAAAGACAGAGACAAGCTCTGACGCAGGCTCTGACGCAAAGGTTGAGGCGTCAGGTGTGATAGTTGGCGTCGTTGACAACATCATTAGACGGAGGCTGGACGCCGTTTGATGCGGTCGACGGCGAGCAGATTTTTTTTTTTTTTTTTTTTTTTTTTTTTTTTTGTCCCGTACCGCAACTTTCATGTAATAAAAATTCCCCTTGAAGTGCTGCAAAATACAGTCACACGTATCCGTTAACGCTCGGCGATCTGCACTCGATCGCCTTCTTGAGCCTCCGATCAGAATGAATCGAAGGTTGGATTGCCCAGCCCTGTGTAGCTCGCCAAGAAACTAAGTCAACTTGGATTTTCTTTTGCCCCCACAAGAAACTTTCCCCGGAGTCTTCAAAATGCAGTTTGTAGCCGACTACTTCTAAACGCTTCACCCTCTCAAAATTCGACCTGAGATCCACCCTTTCGCAGACTTTCCGTTTCGTCCCTTAGCAGTCAAGGCAGGCTGACAACAGAACTCTTTCCCTGATCGTTCTGCAGCTTCATTCAACGAGATTTTTTATTCCCAGACCACAAGGAGGTTCTGACGCATCCCCAGGAAGAAAAAGGTTGTGTAGATTTTCCAAGTGCTGGGGTGCAGAATTTCTTCAGAATTCTAGATTCTCGTAGGGATGAACTGGACACCACATCGGTCATGACCTCCCCATGAGGCAAAACCAAAAAAAAAGTCCCTAGGTTAGCTGCTGCTGCAGTGTATATGCATGTCCACTCATCCGTTGCGGGGCAGTCGAGCTACGGCACTACATAAACACACTCCCAATCTTTGCATTCGGTTGTATCCGACCAAAATCAGTCAGCTCGTTAGAATTGACTTTCACCAGGGATCGAGGAAGGCCTCGAAGTTGTAGCTTTTCGGCATGGCTTGAGCAGATCCCCGTGCACGTATAGAGCAACACCAGGAGAACTTACAGTTGCTCTCCTCCTCATCATCATCACTTCACAGAAGGAGTCTGCTTCTATTTTTTTACTCCCAAATTACATGTCCTCGGTTTTGAGCGGCGCAGAATTCCCTGGACTTAAAATAGTGTGCTCGCTTTTCAGCTTGATTTGTGTGTTTCTGTCGGCCAACAATTAAAGCTGCATGCCCTCATTCATTTCTAAACTTAGCTTAGTGCAATAAACAACTAGTTTCATTATTCTCCTCATTAACTTCCCTGAAAGAATTTGATGCTGGTTTTAATTTAGATGGCTGCTGCTAAAGAGTATATTGCAATATTTAACTTGATGTGGGTCAATATGATCTATTTTTGATTCAGGATGTTGGATTTTCGAATTTGATTGAGAATAAAGAATTGTTTTCAATGATAAATACTATCAAGAATGGGAACAGAGAATGCGGACCATGAGATGCGGCAACTGTTACAGTGTTGAAATGCCCTCGTCTAGGTGGTTGTTGGATTATTTAGGGTGAGTGTGGTCGAATGATTCACTCTAGCCATTAATCAATGTCTTGTGTTTCTTCCGATGATTCACATGCATGCATACACTCTAGCAGGAGTATCCCACATAGGATAGAACACGGCTTGACCAGTGAAAGTACATGTGTCCATTTTAATTCACAAGCATCAATATGTTATTCTCAGCAATCTTAGAGGTACAGCAGGTTGATTGGCAATTTTGTAGAATGGTAGAGAACGCAATGGTTCTGTACAATTAGACATAGAAATATCAGTTGGTATCCATTCAGGAGGATGAATTTCTCAGTTTAACATCATCTGATAGGCTTCTTTTCAGCATTAACCAGTACCTCCCATTACAAAACAGATTGTTGCACAGCTCCTAGCTCCCTTCTCAAATATACTTAAGAGTTTTGATCTTTTTAGTTTTTTATTCTTTTATTTTACTTGTATTTTATTTTTAATACTAGTATTACATTGGGTACATTATGTATTAATAGAACCACGTTCTTCTTAATTACAACTTTGCAATCTCAGTGCAACCACAGCATAAAACCGCCACTGTTCCTATCGCCAAGACTGCGGATTTTAGCTGCGTTCGGCATTACCAGCCTGGCTTATTTCCAGTCTATTGTGTTGTGAAATGCTGAGACGACGTAATGAGTCCAAAGAGATTATATCTAGTACTCGACTCGTGGTTCCCACTCCACTAAGCACAATATTCTACATCAACATATCATAGTAACTCAATCGAAGTGGCGATGTAGCTCGAATCCCAAGAGAGTACCATTTTGAAGATGACGTGTCTGGAATTGTCCGGAGCCTTGTGGCGTAGAGTCGCTCTCGGGGTAGCCGCTGCTTTCAGTACTTGTCGTGAAGCTCAAACTACAGTAATCTGCGAGATTAATAATAGCTTAAATGAGATCAAAAAGAATCTGAAGTTCATTAATATTGTATAGAACAGTAAACCAAAACCAAAACTTGTAAAGAACCTGAAGAAGATTTTATTCCATTTAAAAACCTACATTATTTTCCTACACGGATGACGAAGAGTAAGTTATGTATCTATTCTATTTTCGGCATGACGGATTTCAGAAATGGTGGGTTATCGAAAATGACCTCTGCTGTACTTTGGAATTTGAATAGCATGAGTTATTAAATTCATAAATAATTACATCAACGTCGTTGGCAAGCACAAGTTTGCCTTGCAAAGAGTGGCCCAAGGTCTCATAGCGCTGGCGTTTCCCGACAGGAAGCTCGGATGAGTTGTCCTTAGTTGTGTCCATATACCTCTGAGAAAAGATAATCACTGGTTTTGGAAAGTTTCTGTAATCTTCAGTATGCATACCGAAGCCTCTCTGGATCACATTAACATAAATTAGTAACAACGCCTTGTAAACTAAAAACTGACGTAGTTTATTCCTCCTGTTTCTCATCTCGATTCACGAAAAGAACAGAAAAGAAAAGAAAAGAAAAGAGGAAAAGAAATAAAGAAAAAGAAAAGGATAAACCCTTGCATGAAACAATGAAGCCCCCACTCAAACTAAGTAACCTATAATGTAGACTTCACCATATATTCAAGCGAGAATGTGTAACAGAAAATCGGCGAAAAAACGACAAAGCAATTGAGAGGAGACCTGAGAACAAACTTCCTAAAGCCTCGATTCTTTCTTCATTTAGTCACCTTCCTTCAAGCGAGCAATTTGGGAGTCATATTAAAATCCAATGGCATTCTGCAACACCGAGGACGAATTCATGCTGTCAATTTCTACTTGTGTAAAACACTAGCCCTACTTAAAATTGACACTCGGATCTGCGAATAACCGAGTTGCTTTTCATAAGCACTTCACGAAAGACCGACCTAAAGCCAATCATAAACCCTACCGATACTTGAACTGCACAACAGCAAGAGACATAACACGGGGGCGGGGGCAGGGGTCGTAGAAAAACATCTGGGTACCAAACTATTTTTCGACCCCTTGGGGCAGACAGAAATGTTGATCTCAAAACGCATCAAGCCCTGCTGCATGTTGCCGTTTACTGGTACCCGAGCAGAACACAATCCATTTCAGTCCTGCAGCTCACTCTGCAGCAGCCTCAAGTCCTGATCAAACCCACCTGCAAAAACGAACATTAGTGTCTCAAGATGGGAGAGACTCCCCATGTTCAGACCTGCAAGGAGGGTGTGAAACTCAGAGCTTTGAGAACACAGCACAGTGAAACCCACATCACACAACCCCATCTGCATCGACTTCTCTAGAAACCAGAGCATCAACAGATCCAGTTTCTGACCAACTTTGCCTTCGAGGCGGATCCCGAGAGACAAGCGTGAATCAATCCGTCCTGCCAGTGTATATATCTCCATGTGAACTGGGGCTTTTTCCGAAACGACAATGGCCACCGCCAATTCTCACAGGTGTGTTGATATCAATGACAGAGCTTGTCAGTGACAAGGATTGTCAATATTTTGGAATTGAGGCGTCCTTTGAGCAAATTAGGGTAAAGAAGTAAATGAAATTCTGTCCATCTACTATGTTTAATTAAGCATATGAATTTAGAAAAATATAAGCAATCAATACTTAATTTTCATTATGAAACCTTTCATCAAGTAATTATGAAAAGAACTAGTTATTATCATTAAAATTTTAAACAGTAATGTTTAATTTCTATGGTATTTTTTTTACAAATTATTCTTAAAATTTCTTGATTATGCAACATGTTACAAGACAAGAATACATCTGAAAATTTAGTTGTTTCATTGAAATATATAAAGTAATAAATAAAGAATAAATCCATGAAGTTCATATATTTGAGTGATTTAGGGTAAGTAATACATTATATGGAAAAGCTCAAGGTTTAAAATGTGTGTTTATTATGAATGGCAACATGTATAATATTTAAACGAGAATGCACATTAAATCTGAAGGTCTTCAATAATATATGAAAAAAACTATATATATATATATATATATATATATATCACAAAATACTTTGTATAGTTAATTGCAAAATGAAAAAATAAAAAAAATAAAAATTATGTACTATTTAAATAGACTATGTAGATTATTATATGTATTTAAAATCACTCAAAAGTACAAGCATGAGATTTTCATTTTCTATATATGCATTCAATGTGACATGCTATGGATGGTGGGGACGGGGGGGGGGGGGTTGGGGACCGGGTGGAGTGGGAATGGGGACCGGGTGGGGTGGTTATGGGGTGGGGACCGGGTGGAGTGGGAATGGGGACCGGGTGGGGTGGGGTGGTTATGGGGTGGGGATGGGATGGCGGGGTCGAGACCGGGTGGGGTGGGGTCGGATACTTAATATTTTTTAATCAATACTTAATATTAAGCATTAACAGTATCATTAAAACTTAATATTAATACTTATTAAGAATAAGAATAATAATACTTGATATTATTCTTATGTAAAAAAAACTCCAACATTTCTCCTTGAAGTTAATAATATTGACAATTCTTGGTTTTTCTTCAATCTTGGTAAAAATTAATTAATTTTTCGTATATTTTTTGTGATAGTTGCACACATTCAATTAGTATTTATATATAATAATGTATAAATATACATATATATACATAATATAATTAGTATAAATATAATATAATATAATATAATTAGTATAAATATAATATAATATAATATAATTAGTATAAATATAATATAATATAATATAATTAGTATAAATATAATATAATATAATATAATTAGTATAAATATAATATAATATAATATAATTAGTATAAATATAATATAATATAATATAATTAGCATAAATATACATATATTTATATATATAATTTTTACTTGTTATTTATGTATGAATACTTTAAAATAATAAATATGATTCATATTTATTTTTGAATATATATTAGCTCATGATTGTAGTGAAGAAGTTTTTACCATCATAAAGTAAATAACTAAATGCATAATAAATAGACTAAAAAGTGCCTATGCACTTATTTTTATTAAAAATCTTATACAAAAAATTAAATAAGAGTATGTATTATTTTTTTTTATTTAACTTTAAAAAAATATTTTCAAACAAAAATAAATTATTATTTTTATTGTATATGTTGTAAAATAAGACACACACATACACACACACACACATATATATATATATATATATATATATATATGTATGTATGTATGTATGTATGTATGTATGTATGTATGCACTAGAATTAATATATGTACATATGTATTTTACATAAAATATAATTAGTAAGTGAAATTATCAATTAAAATTCATCTTACAATATTTAATACTATACATTTTAAGTATTTTGTACAAGAATCAAATATTATACATATTAATTTTTTACAAGATTTTTTAGACATAAATTTCTACATAAAAAATATGTATCATATATTATTTTTGTAATATTACAAAAATAAATAATAATATGTGTAAGAAAAATAAATATATACTAAAAATGAATAATAAAAAATAAATAATACTATCATAAAAGTTAATTAATTTTAGAATATTATTATAATATTATAAGATTATTAAATTTAAATTTTCATGTTTATATGTTTTTTTCCTCTTTCCTTCTTTGAATGTTTTATTGTTGTAATGTAATAATTATAATATTATCTATATTTTATTAATTGTTTGGACTCATGATTGTATTAGCACTATTATTCAAAGATTTATTCTAATATAATAATATACTTGATAAAATACAAAAGAACTTCATTTAATATATAATATGCATGTTATTTTTCTTATGTTGTATCATGGACATGAATTTACATAATATTCTTTAACAAAACTATATTTATATATAACTTTAAAATAATATTAAAAATATATTTATAATTATATTTATTTTGATAAATTTATTTTTATAGAAATTTTAAAATCCTAAACCTCATTTTTATCAAGTACAAAGAGTCGTAGAGTCTAGAATAATGAATAGAATACAAGAAAAGAGTCAAAAAGATTGAGAACGGTTTTTATCTTTACCTCTACAATTACTAGCTATCAAAAAAGCCATTTAGTAGCTCCTCATGGACCACAAAACTTGCAAGTCAAGTATCAAAGTTGTAGAATGTTTCTTAAGTAGTGCCTTAGATGCAATTAGAGAAATTTTCATAGTCAAATTTCATACCTAATAACTCCTAAAAAATTATTCTACTCATAAGTTTTTTAAAATAATTTTTAAGAAATAAATTATTTACTTAATTTATTCTTATGTACTTTCACTTACTTCCTATAACATATTATCATTGGAATTCATAAATCTTGCACAATTTTATAACATAAATAAATAAATAAATAAATAAATAAATATGTGATGTTTAAGTTTAATCTTTGTAAATTTTGATAATAATATTCTTTGCTCTTAATATTTATAAATTCTTATAACATCTAATAGAGATTGAGGACAATAGAAGTATAATATTTGCTAATAACATTTTTGTTGTTGATAAAATAATTTATACAATATGTATATATAATATTTATATAATTGGATATGATAATAGAAATTAAAGAAAAAGTTTCTTTTTTAAAGATAATCCTCACCAAGTTGCATAGATCTATATACCAACACCATATGTATATACACACATATGGTTGAGGCTACAAGCACACCTCAAGTTGCTGTGCACACACCCATAATGTCTATACACACACAAAAAGCTTCTCATTGGCTCATCCAGATCTCATTGCCCTTCAGACTGCGTGTGTCCAGGTCCCCTTTCTTCTCTCCCGGTCCCCTCCCTCTCTATCCCTGCGTGGGTCTCGCAGCCTCTCTTCCTTTTCCGTGAGCGCCGAGGAGACGGACTATGTCTGTTTTTATTCCGATCCCTTCCCAGCTTCATGACTCTTGCACTGTCGTTCTCTCCCCTCTTCATCCCATCATAGACGTGTATTCTGCCATCCTCTTCGATTCGGATGCTCCCTTTTTTCCTGCTCCGACTTCTGAACCCGTCTGCCATCACTGTGTGAGGACTGCCAATTGCTTCCTCTTTCGATGAATCACCCCTAAATTTGGTTGCGTGGAGACTGATGTTACTTCAATGTCTTAACCCCCGCAGTATCTCACCGGAGTTATCGTTCATGTCACTGCTCCCTTCTGTACCCTAGCAACATTTTGCAACCTCTATTCTACAAAACTTAACGCTAGGAATTTGAGTTATCTCGCGAGAAATGTTATACGATTTTCACCGCGTCTTGTTACTGAAAAGAAGTGATTATAGATCGGCGGTTGACTTTGCGAAATCTATTCACAGCTCGTGTTCTAAGATTCCACGCTGATTATCTGTACAAAAATCACGGTGAAATCACTGTGTTTTTCAGTACTCTGTGAGTAAAAAGGTAAGATGACTGCTTCCGGCAAACTCTGCTAGGTTGTAAAGTTGTGTCGCTTGTGACTTTTTAAAGTTGTGTAGCTCGTGACATTCTCTTCGCCCACATCAGAACTGTCACAAAATCAAGGCTGAGAGGGGAAAAAGTGTGTGCTTAGTCCCATTTTCTTTTTTCTTTTTTCGTATTTTTTCTTTTTTTTTTTGCAAAAGAAGTATGAATTGAAATGAAGAATCATTTCATCGTATACAGTCAAAACAATCGCTCCACTTGCGTATTTCGTAATTGCTGAGTGGGGACATGATCCTTGCATTTCGAGATCAGAGTCAAAATACCGTTCACTGTCTCTCAACTGTGGATTCCTACCCCTCAGAACACATAGAATATGCATACAATTTTTTAATTCAGACTTAAAAGTGATATTTTGAATATTCTACAGTACGTTGCCACAATCATACTGTTTGTATAAAACAATACAAATATAATCTTATTTGTAGTAGCATAAAATAATTTCTGTAACAATACCAAAGAATTTTGAATTTGACTAGCACAAGACAATTGACTGAAATTGTCCAAATCTAAACAAAGCTATAACTGATGGGAATTTAATTGAGACTTGATCAACATATGCATACGACTTTAAAATATAACAATCTACAATAGTACCTAAAAGTCAACGGATAGAATCTAGAGACATCTGCGAGTGATTTAAGAAACTTCTTTACTAACTTGGTTAAAAAGTCTAACTAGAATGTTTCTCTAAAAAGCATTCTTAAATTCTTCAATAGAAATGCACTAGATGCTAAGACCAAAAGTTTAACGCTTTCCCATAGCAACAACCATTTAGATATAAAAATATGACTTCCCATTACTATTATTTCTACATTTTTTGCATGAAATTCTTTTTGTTCATGATAAAAACACTTAGTGTTTTTGGCAATAGGACTGAACATATTTACATCCAAAGGTTTATGAAATACAACAATTAAAAAAATAGTTGTAGATGCTCCTGAACTAACATTAATGAGATACACGCAAATTAATTTGTGTTAGCAAGAGCAATGGAAGACTTGACAACATTCTCGCAATGAAACCAAATCACACTTGATGCAATTATGTGATAGTGACACCTGTAAAACTATAAAAAATATATAAATAAAAATCACAGTGCTGCAACCCACGTGGATGCAATAGTTGCTGGTACCGTTAAATACGTCAAAATTGAAGTGTACTGTTGCACACAGAAGTCGATAAACCTTTTAGCTGCACTCAATTATAGGAACCTGCACCCTGAAGACGTGATTGTCGTTCAGAACTAGTTCTGAATAACTTGCAATGGCAAGAAGCGGTGCGGCAGCGCCTATACACATCCAACTCTGCTGCAGACCAAGAAGAAATTCAATTCGACATCGTACTATCTCCAGGCAAACTTACATACACAGGCGAAACAGTCACTAGAACCAATGTCTCACATAAAGCACCGCTCCTCAATCGTGAGATATAATCAGTGACAAACAAGCCGCATCATGATGCATCGCAGTCATAGATCCACCACGTGAAACCAAGACCACTGAAGGAGTACGGGTTAAATATTAGACCCACGAAACAACGCTGCAATATTACAACATAATCAATCAGGATCCTAACACACTATGCAAGATTAAGCTACGAATAGATCACGCCCCTCATGTCCTGCAAGATGTGGCCAAAGAATTTCAGAACAACACATGCCAGCTAAAACTTAGCACAGGTATGTACATCATCGACCAAGTTTGTCGCACCGAGACCAGCATAGAACCATTTGTATCGAAGTGCACGGTACACTACGCCGAAACTCCGGGGGAGATAAAGCTTCAACAGATACAGGTGATCGACCTCCACCATCTCCAACTAAACGTGATATGGCCTACTTGACCAAAAAATTGATGAACCTCTCGTTCTGTCACAGATAAAGCACACGCTAACACAGCATCACGCTCCCTGCAAATCCTCTTCCATGCGATCCACGGTGCAGGCACTTTCCGCGCCAACAGTTCCGTTCCCACTACCAACCGGTGAAGGATCCGCATCCTTAACCTTCACTGAAACCTCACTCTTAACAGTTTCAGATTTCATAGTCATACTCTCTGGAGACCTGGTCTGCGTAGCTGAAGATCTCGCTAACGATGCCAGTGGTCTCCGAACAACGCTCCGATTCGAACGCTGCCTTTTGGGGACATTGTCTGCCGACCGTGCTAATAAGCCACCTGGACCAATGGGAAGAGCTGAGCCCGCACAGCCGCCTTCGCCACCCAGCTGGACCGCACTCTTCCCGCTTCCCACCTTCAACTTCCCTTTCCCAACAGTATGAATGTCGCCACTGCTTCGCTTCAGACGGGGCATGTACCGTTGCAGCTTTTCCAGCGTCTCCATCACAGCATGTCGACTTTGATAGTGCTCGTCTTCCGTCTCCTGTTCAGAATGAAACCCGACAGTCGTCAAACAGTCACTCTCTACCTCCAAAACCTACACATAAATCAAATTTACAATCACAAGAAGCCCCGCTCCCATGGCAGCACAGGTGTGGAACCACTCTAGCCCCAAAATTACCGATACATTACACATTGCCTCATCCCCACAATTCTTTCCATCAAATGTGACACAAGACCCACGAGCTCGAACCAATTCACTTGTACACACTCCTTCCATGGTTTACCCAAGCTACTGTGGTCCAGTCTGCACGCGAAAGCCTACCCCAACTATGATGGGACTAGGGGAAGGCTAAACTTACGAGACGACGTGCTGAAAACTCAACACTACTCTACCCACCACCTCATAGCATCCCCAAACAACTAAAAGCAAAACATGGAACCCCCCAAGGAACCAATCAACACATCCCGTGCGCAGCAAATTCTATCAGAGGTGACAGCGTGTTCACACACCAAACAATCCTCATAAATGTAGGAGCAAACCAACACCTCCGCGCGTTACCTACCTCATCGCTGGATGAATCTTCTAGGCGCTGCACTGCTGGGTTTGCATCTTCGACCACCCTCCACAACGGTATTTCAATGTCCACGTGACGTACTTGCTCTGCAAAGGTAGCACCCACGTTCACGGGCATCACCATGTTGCTGATGTCATAGTCTGCCGCCTTGCGTCGTGCCAGCCCAGCCCCTGAACCAGATCTTCCCAAACTGCCACTAGAGGACGATGGGGGCCCTACACGTGTCACACCTCTTGGACCGGGCAGTCCTTGAGCAGACGAATTACCTTTCTGAGTGGCTGGAGGAGGCACACGCAGTGAGAGGCTCGAGGCACCACCTCCCTTACAATCAACTGCACTATTCTTCCGTGCAGCTACTTCTTTCCTCAGTAAATGCTTTTGCTTCTTCACGCGTACCTGCAAAGCTTCCACTTGCCACAGAAGCTGCTCCATGGAATCATGCCCCACAAATGCATTTTCTGCAGCCGGTTGCAATTCCACGTCCTCCCTCTCGTACGTGGATTCTGGTTCAGACAGTGTGCAACAAACTACATCAAATCAGTTCAGGGTAGCCAACTATCGACCAACTATTCCAGCAAAGTAACGCTGCATGTTCATCGTCGTAATAGGTTAGAGATAAGTCAGTGAACAAAATACACCAATCACCACAAACCACTCAAAAACATCACCGACGAGATTCCAACAGTGACCTTCACACGACAACTGCCTAAATGCCATTCATGTAGACTATCGGCTATTACTCTTTCGGAATACAGCAGCACATCAGCATGGAACACTTCAGCATAAACCATTGTAATCATATTAACGTCCCATATCCATAAACTAGACGAGGCTAGTGTAATGTGAAATGCATGCAAAGTGGAGGTAGATACACACCCTCAAAGTCTGTCTGCTGTGCTAGATCCCTATGCACCATTTTTTGACCTGAGCCATCGTCCGATTTTCGTTGGGTCTTCCTTTTCTCTGCACCAAAAGATCCCACAATATATGAGTGCATGCGCTAACCGCTCCTAGCTCTCATAATATTCAGCCTTAAACGTAAACGTAACTACATTAAGTTCGAACCTTATTTTCATGCCCACCACAATCAAGTTCTTAATGCTTCTTCACACAAAGACTGAGCTGCAACACCTACAAAACCTAACATTCAAATTCCCTAGCTTCCGCAAGCACTACGTGTGCTGTGAGCTCAGGGACCGGCCATGAAATTAAACGCATCCCCTCATCGACGCAGTGTCACTACTACCCAAACACCACACCCCGTGAAGCGAAACAAATTTTCACATGCACCGGAACTTGTCCAAATGTATTTCATAACTCTTCGTTGTGATGGTACAAAATCAGCATGCTGAGCATGAACAACGCTCACACTAGACACACTTGCTTAACCTCTGTGCCCACTCACAAAATCACACAATCCAACTGTAAATGCACTCTCAGCCTCTCCCCAGTACCATATCGTGAGAACACAGGATGCTTTCCCAGATCCACGTCTTGTCCACCCTCGGCCCTCCTCCGATGTTTGCGGTGAACGATTGGATGGTTTCGCAAAATCTTCACCGGCACCGTCCGAGAGCATGACCCTTCACCGACCTCTCCGTCCCATTTCCAGACCTTCTCGCTCTGTGCTTTCTTCAGCACATTCTCGTATTGGGCTAGTTTCGCTTGGATCGCCAGCGTTTTCAGCTCCAACCAATGACACCTCCACTCAATGCCACGCCTGGTCTGCTTCCACTCTGCGTCCAGCGCTTTCTTCCCCCTGTTCACAGTACCACATTGCTCCTTTGCTTACATTTCGATACCACAACCATCCGATCATCAAAGTTGCAACAACAGACTTTCACTTACTTTACACCAGTCACGAAGTCAAATTGTACCTTTCGCCAGTGATAACACCATCATCTTCCATCAACCCGACTGCTCCGTTACCATCGCGTAAACTTGACTCGGCCTCGAATATCCACAGCGCCCTGTCGGGGCTCCCTTCACCTTCCAACGAACTGCCACTTGACCCATATGAACTTGAAGATTCCGTTGCTTCGCCCACCGAATCCGACCGCCGCTCCGCCGAATCCACGTCTCTCCCCCCCTCTACATCTACGTCTTGGTCTGTTTGACCCACTGCAGATGAACCGTTACCAGGTTCCCCTTCTGAAACCCTGCCACTGCTTTCCATGTTCCGCACTACCCTGCTAACATCTGCTTTTATACCATCCTTTTGCATTGAAGTCTCTTCAAAAACACCACCCACCGCTGGACCTGGGAAAGGTTCCGTGCTCTCAGTCGTCTGATCCACCCGTTTCTCTGTCTTCAGGTGCTGGATCAAACAACTCCCCTTCCCAACTGGGGTATTCCTGCACATAGATGGTGATTTACTTTCAGCAGACCTAGTAGCGGCGCCAGATATGGTCATTCTCACTCCTTTGGACGTCAAAGACTTCTCGGGCTGGCAGACCATAGCCTTCACATTCTCCGACTTCGCTTTCACGGACACACCGATTTTAGAGTCAATCTGGCTCCATGCCACTAAGCTCTCCCCGTATCCCTCGTATTGCTCCAACCGTTTCTTACCCCGTCGTAGAAGATCATCGGCAGCAGCCCATATGATGCTCCGCTTCTGATTGCACTTCAGAGCGTTGCAACATATCCGTTCAAAATCTTCCTGTACACATGAATGAACCACATCATCCTCTCACCCGAGAAAAAACCCCCCATAGCAACGGATATTCTAAATCACGTTCACAGGCACATACACCCACACAAGCCCACGCTCGCATGAACCGTTTCTCGTTTTAACCAGGACTTCCAACATATCCAAGTGGATAGCCTACAACAAATTTCCTCCGGCCAAGTTAAAGAGACCACAGATATTCAACGGTGAACACTCCTGCATTGAAAACGACTTGACATATTTGATATTCTCACAATTCCCATATCAAATCGACAACTCTAACAAAAGGGTCTATGTGACCACCGCCAACTTCCAACACGACATCCAAGACCGCAATGACGACATCCTGCTTCACGACACAGCCTTCACTCAACATACCACGAACATGCGCCACGTAGAATACTTGTGCGTTCGGATCTTCTCTTGCATCATTGCAAAGCACATCGGGGATTCGATGACCTTCGAGTGATTCGATGCAGAGTACCCATCCAAAGGACCCATAAAATCTCCTTTAGAATCCAAACTGCTCTACAAACAACCACACACGAAGATATCAGAATCGTCTTGCCAAATCCTGATTAGCACCAGTTTCACGAGCCAAGAAGAAAAAAAGAAAAAAAGGAAAATCAAAACAGATCGTCGTAGACAATACTTCAGTATCCAAAGAGAGCCCTGTAGGCGGACATGAATTCAATGCAAGAAGCGTGCAGCATATCCATATCGGACTTAAAGGTAAATAAACCAACTCTGTTGCACATTCGCGTCCACTTACAACTAACAATCAAAGACTAACAGGCCGCGTTTCCACATTGAGACAACACACGGATACAAAACTAACGATACTACTCAGCTGCTGAAGACATACTAACCCGGGAGGACATTTCAGGTGTTTGCCGCACCGAATCTAAACGAATTCCACAGGAACCTTCAAGAAAAGGTCGACACTCACTCCCTGATCAATAACAACGCCCGATGCACGTAATGCTTTATCTGCACTCCCAAATAGATCGAAAGACTGCGACGACATCGCACTCATTCAGCACTGACAGCACAATCAACCACAGCTCAGTAAAAGGGATCTAGTACCTCATCAAGGATTCCAAGACGCCAAAAAGACTCGTCTGCTTACGCACAACAAGCTTTTTCTCGTCCGGTTGCATGCCGTGCCCATTTCCAACATTGATGCCACCATTCTCCGCTTCCCGATCTTCACCGTCGCAAATCTTGCGAGTGTCCAAATGGTCGTCAACCCCGCTAATTTTGGTCCCTTCACCGCTAACCTCTACCGAACCCCCCTTCCCTAAATTCGCAACTACTGGATGATCCAGCCCTCTCAGCAAAGAATCGCCTGCTCCAAAACCCGAATCATCGTTCAAAACCCCGTTTGGTGTCATGTAAGTTTTACCTCCCACCTACCATCATGCCAGCGATCAAATTACAAATACGGATAACGAATTATAAAAACAAAAAACAAAATCAAAAGCAAAAACGGAATCCGATGCGCTCGCATAAGCCTCGCATCTTCCAAGAAACCACGACAAAAACCGTGACAAGAAGGTGAATAATATTGTTATAGAACACACTCTCAGGACACATGCACTGACCAATTCCACAAGCCCAGCACTTTAATTCAGTCTATCTGTCTATTCCCCTTCGCTCTGACCGTACGTTCTGACACCGGGTAAAACCTCACGAAAACAAACAAGTGCACACTATCACCGACACGACAATGTCCATAACGCTGGCCCTACCTCCTCCAGACTTCCGGACGCACATCAGCACGGTTGCTCCTTAACTCGGCGGTGCCCAGCCACGTCAAGAACTCACTACTTGTTGAACCTACAATTTCGGCATCAATGTCTGTTTCTCTTCACTCGCCATTTTGGCACCAATAATCGCGCAGCCAAATTCCGCACATAGCTCCGAGGCATGAAAATAAACACCTACGCACCACGATTTCCAAAATGCTCGTATCGCTTAAACTCTGCTCTTGTAGCCTCTTAATCTTTAAATCTTAAAGATAACCTCGGCAAGACTCCACCACTCAGCTTCCAAGGTCAGTACCAACGCTAAACAAGGCCACCAGCGCATGCGTGTCACAAAGCCAAACCCTACTACGCAACAAACCTCCGCCAAGTTCGACCACCTCCGCCAGCACCGAACTAAAAGACACAAACCGACAACACCTCAGCGAAAAACTCTGGCAGTACCGTTCCTCCCTTTCCAAGCCAAGACGGTGAGGTCAGGCGAGGCAAGACCAAGCTCCTCCTTCGCGTCGTCTTAAAAATAACAAGGAAAGAACGGGCAGCAACAAGGTGAGGGGAGTGGTCCCGAAGTGCGAAGCGAATCGCACACTGCTCATCATCACTCTGCCACTCCTTCCCGTCGATGACGACTCCCTGTTACTCCAACCACCGTAACCAAACCGCTAATTCAAATCCCGGCAACTCGCACCAAAGGTTCGGTTCCAAACTTCAACCATGGTTGTCCTCCACGCTGCTGCCTCCTCCACGGCATCTTAGATTTTCCAAGCCTTCTCAACGAGCTAGCATTATTACGATTCGATCTCGTTCAGCCGCGTGCGCTACCGTTATTTCCTTCCTCCGCGATGACATGGCCCTCTCAAGGTTCGTTAACTGTTTCCGCGTCGGTTCCAGCGCTTCAAGCACTTCAAGCACCACTTGCAGCGCTCGCTAAGACGCTGAGCGAAGAAGGCGAGAGAGCGGGGAGCCTTCCATGTTAGCTTGCTGCCGCCGATACTGCCCCACGGATGTGCCTCCTCCGGCATTTCTTTGGCATCCTGGTGAGCGAGCGAGCGCGCAACCATTTCGCACAAACACCAAAAGCAGAAGAAAAGAAACTGGCACCTCTTTCCAGTGCCGTTGGTGAACGAACGAACTAACGAACTAACGAACGCCCAGTCTCCTTCCATTGCTCGACTGTCCTTGCTGCAATGTTTCTGTTTGTCAACTATCATTCAAGAAGCGTTCTTCACATTCATCTTCATTCGTCCTCACTTCATTCATCCATTGTCGTCGGATGATGGTAACTGTTCATCTGTAATGGATCATTCATCAGTAGTGTGAAACTGTGTCATCCGTTTCACCGTTTATCATTCGATTTGTCAGCTGAACACCCTCTATTTTATTTTATCCAACTCCATGTTTAGTCATTTCTGGGTGGCAATGGAGTTATTTAGTATTAGCAATATCCATCTTCAATGCACAAGTGGGCTCTCGAAATCACCCTTTTTTATTCTCCTCGGTGCTTAAAAATGAGGTTGTATGAGAAATCGAGGGTTTTGGAAATAGTTTGTGCATGTGGGTGAGGATCTACTGCTTTCTAAAACCATCCATGCTTTTGGGTTCACATGTACAGTGCAATTTGAGGTTACATATTAGGCGGACAATTGAGGAAAATTGTTTAGTGTTTGGAAAAGATTTTTTTAAAAAAGATAATTAAAAAAAAAAAAAAAAAAAAAACTAACTAACTAACTAACTAACTAACTAACTAACTATCAACTGAAGGATCGTATAATTTTTTTTTTTTCATGCCGTCGTATTTTAAACTACAACGATGTGATATCTTCCAAATAAATACATGCATTCTACAAAAAAAATAGAAAGTGGTTAAGATCCTACGATATCATACACAAATATTAATATTTAATCGGTAACAAATTTTGACACCCTGTGAGTGATTGATAACGACAATAATGACTTGAAACAATTATAATTGATTGCATATTCACATGCCCCAGAAATCATCTTTAACATTAAATTATGAGTAAATCTTTAAATAAAATCTGCCACTTGTAAAGAATTGAAAGTGGGCTTCAAATGGGTGTGTGAGGATATACATAGAGAGAGAGATAAATAAATAAACAAACAAATGTCTGAGTAGAATGTAGCTTTACAATTATTCTAAAATATAGAACAAGCTAGGCAAAACTTCTAAAGGAAATAAATATAATTTAAAATTTTCGCATGCTGTAGTATTTATTATCTTTGTTATTGTACAACAAACAAATCAAATCTTAAGAATCTAATATATGAGACTTTTTCAGTAGTATTGCTGTCTCTCCTTTACATCACTGCCGCCATCATTCTATTTTATTATAATTTATTAATTTTTAATTTAATTTTATATATTTCTGGTAATCCTCCACCCAATTGCCATAATTTTTTATTTCGTTTGATTAATTTTGTCTTTTATTTGATATTTGTTTTTTTTAATGAATCTTCACTCTTTTAATACGCTTTATGTTTGTGCAAATTTTTCATTTGAATGTGTTTCATGTAATATATCAAACTAAAGTTTTGTATATTCTTTTAGGGAACATTCTTGGCTTACCAAGGCTTGGCTAGTTATTCTTTATACAAATTCTTTATCTTAACCTTCAATTCATCAATTTTCCTTTTCTTTATTTATTTTTAAATTAAATTTATAAGGCATTGATCTAATAATTTCTAATTCAAACTTATTACTACCTAGTTTTGAAACTTTTCCGAGCAATCTGATATTGCCCAATACAATCCAAACTTATTTGTTATATTGTAGTTTGGATTAAGCATAACTAAAGATTTATATGTTTAAATTATTAAGTATCGAATATTTCTCATACTTCAAAAAATCAATCACACAAAGTGTCATTACGCTTCAGCTATAAACATCATGTATTTTTTTTTCCAGTTATTTATTTAGAAATTAATGAAGTATAATTAATATTGGTTTTGAACATATAATGTTTTTTTTAGAAGTTGGTAGTATTGAACTTTTGATATTGATATTTTAATATCAATAAATAAATAAATATTTTAATGTAATGAATAAAATATTTGTTTTTCTTTATTTTAGAAAGTTAGTTTTGCAATTTTTGGTAAATTAATATTCAAAATTACTCCAAGCATTTGCACATTCAAACTTAATATACACATTTCAGAATAAACTTCCTTTCAAGAATTCCATAAAAAAAAGTTGCTTAAAATTTTCAAACTATTTAATTTTCATCAATCAATAGTTAATGAACTTCAAGGACAGACAAAACATTTAGCCAATCAGCAAAAGTCTAGGATAGACACCATTTTTTTTTCTTCTATTTTTCATGTAAAATAGATGTGTATCTTCTGTTTTTATTGTGACATTATATTTTTATTTATATTTTATTATTGATTGTAATAGTTAAATATCAAACATCTTATAAACAACTTCAACATATTTTCTCGCTTGTTTTCATCTTGATCATTAAATCACAAGTGGTTCTTTTTGAACGTGAATCAAGCTAAATTAAAGTAGTAAATTAATAATGATAATAACAATGATGATGGTTTCATAAGATTTTTCTTGATTAATCATTGTAGTTTCAAGCATCACTCGTGCATCAATTTGTTTTAGTTGATAACTCGTTTATAATTCTGTTATGTTGAGGAATATATAATTCCATAGTAACTCAACATAGTTAACATTTTTTGAGTGTTTATTCTTTTATAATTAGACCCAGTTCATACCTTTTTTTTTCATGGATTTTGAACATTAACATTGTGTCTACTTAGACAAATTAGACAAATTAGACAATACTTTGACATGAAAGTGATGAATTGAAAATAATTGTAAACACGAACAAGATTAAAGTTTTAATCAATGCAAATCCAAAATAGCTTTGAAAGAAACAAATAACTAAAATACAACTGATTTATTATTTAACACTTTTTCAAGTCTATGGTTCACACTATCCATTATTGTCCATCCATGTTACTTTGAAAAACAAATTCAAAGACAAAAACAGTGGTTTCAATTATGAATCAAATATTAATTACAGTCACATACACGTAGGCATATATATACATATATATATATATATATATTACAAACATAAATATCAATTCAAAAGCAATGACCACATTATTGATAGCCGAGGCCCGTCAACTATTCGTGTAACGTGTGCAACGAAGTTCCCATCCATGGGACCGGTCACACTATTTTCCATGCAGCCTAATTAACCCCACAAATCTCATCCATTAAATCATTCATCCATTTCCTCGGCTCTATTTCAGACCTCATCACACCCACTGGACAAGAAACCCACCCAAAGAGGCATATTAGAGGGGGGAAATAGATGGATGAATAAGTAAAAGAATTGATGTAGATATACATAATTTCCATTCATCGACCATGGTAGCTGACGGCCGTTGTCGACCATTTTAGGATTAAAGCATAGTTTCTGGATCTCGTAATGCGTACGCTTTATTTGCAGCACTGTGTCCAGAAATACAAAGGACGTTAGTAGTCGAAAATTTGTCATAGGAAGATTCGCGGAGGATTTCGAAACGAGAGCAATGGATCAGCTGTTAGGCAGTGTTGCTGCGGAAGGGCACGTCGGCGTAATGAAGGTTCGTACAGACTAAGATTGACTCGAAGAAAGTGGTGTTAATGTGCGTGACCAGGAAGACGGGACGCCGCCCTTTCCTGCTGTGACTGGACGTGAGACAGATGTGGTCTTCGTGACACTCAGCATAGATGTAGGAGCAGCGAAAAATGAAGGGGGGGAGCAAACACCGTAGCATTAACCCCCCCTCCTCCAGCAAAGGTCACATCGAGATCGCCAATACGATCATCACAAGCGGCGCGGAAATCGCGACGAACGAGGATCACGTCGCTAACTGCTACCAGCGCCAGCTATGAACAGTCGCGACTTCGAGAGCAAGGAGGCGTATCCATCATACGACTTTAATGCAATCTGTAATTCGCGACAATCGTCGTCTGCCTTTCGTCTCGGTAAGACATAGTGTACACGTTATTACTGTTGACATGGAGGGATACAGATGTCAGTCAGGCAACCCAAGCATCCCGATAGTTGCGGTTGCAAAGATTGAAACAAGAGGATTCACAATGCCAATAATCTTCGCTGAAGAAGCAGAAGTACAATAATTCCGAGACTTTTCGCACCAGTACAGTGAACAGAATTGACAATGGCCGGAATTTCACGGTAATGAACAAGAGAATGAGACCGATAAGAGATTTACCTCTGACATTTCATGCATGACATTTTAACCCTCGAGTGCCCCGGATGTAATAGGGTGAACAAGCAGAGGACAATGATTGTAATCCGTAATGTTACAATCGGAGCATAACATCACGTTATGAGCAGCCGCAAGCTCATCGAAAGGAAATCTGGTTAAACAAAACAGGCGGTAATCACTGACGTGGTTTAAGAGAATCGTCGCAATGAAAGCCGGATAGACATAAAATGCAACTGTGCTATAATACAAGAGGGGGCAAATCGAGCAGTAGTAGTAAAATACTTCAGGACTGCTCGAGTCATTCTACTGCCTCTCATGTCGTCATTGGACAGCTCTGTATTGATTCTGCTTTACTAACTAATCAAAACAAATCAAAAAAATGGTTGCATACTCGTGTCTCTACGAGCACACGAAGGCTCCTGTGAGGCACCACTGAGGTGGATTATGTAAGCTACGAGAACAGATTATGATTCTTATGTCAATCGACTAAGGTTGCTGAAAATATAAATAATAGTCCTCATCATAATGGCACAATAGCGCTCGTTTCCGATTCAGTCGTTGATAGTGGCACCTTAGCAGCCTTTTTGCCCGCCATGAAGGTCAGGTAGATGGTCCACAAGAAAGAGAAAGAGTTGCTTACTAGTGGCTGCGGATAAGCACAGAATACCGTCACCAAGCGTTACATATCGAGCAGAGAAATCAAATGCGTATCTCGGGCGCCTATGAACAGCGCCGAGTATAAAACATCTAACCAGTTAAGACTGAGGAAAACTCCACAGCAAGTAAGCAGACAGGAATAGCAAGTTACATCCAGCTCGTCAGTGACATGGACACAGCACCAAATGTAAAGACCTAAAGCATCGTACAAGTCGCGAAAGGCAGGACGCAGTACAGAGACACACCTGAAGAGGGATGGGAACATATCGATAAGTGATGAAGTCACATGCAGGCCAGTATATCAACCCGTTTTTTAAACAGGGTATCAAATCTCGCTGCAACCGAGTAGTTATTTGTGCCCCTCTCTCGCCTGGCATTAAATCAATTGAAAGGACCGAGAGCAACAAAACAAGTGAGGGCAGATAATATCACCGATATGCAGGAGAAACATGAAAAAACGAGGTTCTCATAGAATCGGTGTGCAGTAGAGCTCACAAGCAAGGCATGCAAAAACGATAGTCACCACAAATGCCACTACCGACAATTTAATCATAAATTGACATGACTCCAAATTCAGACAACTGATACTACTCGATCACACAAAATAGAGTTCCATCAGAATACTAAGAAAAAAGGAGGTGCGTAGCAATACGAAACATGGCGCTTAAAGCTAGAGAAATGGATGACATTACGGCATAGATTTGAAAGAAGTAAATCACCTTGAGCGTATGAGTTGATAACAAAAAATGCAGCACAGAAAGCAGGTCCAAAAAACACTTGTCCTAGCACAAGCTTTTTCAGCGTGCTAATTATGTCGCGACCAGGAATCACCTTGCCAATACGACCAAACCACAAGTGCAACAAAGGCCCAGACATGAATAAGCCTACGGCGAGCATTCGTGCACTCCTGATAGCATCCCAAGCTACTGGCTCTCCATCGCCTGCAGTAAGTGCAGAGATACCCTGCACGAAATCCACGTCAAACTAAATGCGAATGAAAATCTCAAATTTCTCATAACGTCTTCGAATAATCTCTATAGTAGCCATGTATCAAACATACCTCCAGTAAAGCGAGTGGTTTAATTCACCAGATTTTTAAAGAAATTAAGGGATTAATCAAAGATCACCGATAACAATGAAATCTCAAAACCTCCTAGCAAAAACAACTAGACAGAAATGATCTTGATTAAAAAGAGGACAAGAGAAAACGAGAAGGTGAAGAAGCCATGGCACTGCTGGCTAAAGACGCCGCATGGTGAAACCTGAGGATCAGAGGTTTAAAGATGACAAGAAGAAAAGGACACCCCCCCCCCCCCCACGAAAGTAAAATAAAATAAAAGCAAAAATCGATATCATCGAAACTTTAAGTCCAATCACTGATCACTATCACGTGAAATGCACGAAGAACAAAGCGATACTCAGAGAATATGTATCATCGAACACCAGTATAAAATTCCCACACACAATTTTCCCCCCGTAAACAAAGGACAAGAACTCAAACCTGCGAGCAAAGATCAGAGGTGGTGTAGATAGTTCCAGCCGTCAAGCTCTTGGTCAAGAGCGGTCGCCGGTCAAGGTTCCGCAAGTACCACGCCACAAAATTCAGCTTCGATGATGAAGCACCAGGGACAGCCGCAGCCTCCACGGCAACATTAGCCTTGCGAGACTCTGTGAAAGTTCTCCGTCCACCGCACCTCGCCTCATGAACGAACTCGCGAGCGCCATCCCTCACCTTCCGCGCGTCCAAAAAGCCCGCAGCCCCTCGCAATTTCACAATCTCGTACAGCCCCGCGAGGCTCGTCCAATGTCGACCAGCTCTTGGAGCTTCTTCGAACGAATTCGACACCAGCCGCGGCACAGCACCGCCATGTTCGATTAGGGCGCGTGCGAGAGAGGATTTTTGGCGGCCCCTCCGCGCGACCAGCCCAAGCATGGCTGACTGCTAAGCAGCTGGCTATGGCGGAGCAGTACAATTCTATCTTGCAACGTTCAGCAGAAGCCTCCAGTAAGAGAAAACAGGGGAAGGGAGCCTACTCCGCGTTGCAAAGAATGCCCCAAACCCTAAATCTTCACTAGCAACTTAGGTTTCGAAGAATACTACTACCCACGTTTTTACCTATTTGTGATTCCTATTTGGGTGTGATTTGGCTTCCTTCAATTTGGTCATGGAAGTGCGTGTGTGTGAGTGAGACTGAGGTGATGATTTCTATCGCTCCTTTGTGTGGTCATATTTGACAACTAGAAAGTAAATAATTCAAGGGATTAAAAAAACAGTGGTCACATTGCACGGCGTTGCATTTCAGATTTTTTGATGTCATGGTTCCAAAAAAGAGACATCCAACTACATTTTCATTTTGGAATTTGACAAAAGTCAATAAAAATAGGATATTTTTTATGTCACTACAATTTTTGTTATTGCCACCACAATCTGCCATACACTTGATCTATTTCTTTAGTTTATTTATTTTTATTCCAATTTAATTATTTATTCCCATAAAATTTTAAAATCTTTCTTATTTATTTACTTGTATTAAGTTTTTTTTTTTTTTTTATAATTACATTTTTACTAATATAAATATTTTATCTTATTTAATTACTTGATTGATTTTGATTATGTATGACTAGACTAATATTATCTAGAATAGAACAATCATGTTATCTAAAACAAATATCATGTATCTACTTAAAGAAAGATGTCATTATAAACCCCAAAAAAGTACCATAAAAATTCATGTCATTTTCTAAAAAAATTTATATTGGCATTTATAATAAGTATTTCTTCAAATATCAAGTCATTGGCCAAACTTTCATTAGACATGTAAACCACATACTAATTTATAAATAAACAAAAAAAAATTGACAATACTATAAGCTCTTGTTTGGAACTTAATATCTTTGTTTTTAACTTAAGTTATAATTTATAGATCTGACATAATTTATTTCTAATTAAAGAATTTTTTGTAATATAATAATTTATAAAGGCTAAAAATTACATGCAAGTATGATGTAAAAGTACATGTAAGTGAAACAAAAGAAAATCACATTGTTGAAAGATATTTAATTAGAACAAAAATATATAAGAAAAAAAATTAAAAAAATATTACTAAAAAAACAGTACAAATACAAGCAACCAAAAAATATCTTAATTGATTCTTAATATAAACATAGACAATCTTTTATATAAGCATCTTACACTTGTTAGTCATGTAATTTGTTTAACAATGTTCAATTCTAAGCAATTTTATATTTTATAAACTCCAAAACAATGTGATTTTATTTTTAGAATTATTTATTCCAAAACATTGAGGTGTGAGTTATTTGATAAAGATTTTGGAAGCAAGCATAATTTCTTCAAATTTTTGCAATTTTTTTAAATCAATAAGAAGTATCATATTAAGAATTTAAGTCAACGAAAGTTTAAATTGGTCCATCTAATGGTCTTTTGTTACATTGTATTATATTCAAAAGTCTTAGTTTTTAAAAGACAATTGTTCCCTTGGAAAGTCTTGTTATATAGCTTTTCATTAAAATACTAAAAAAAATCTAATAAAATAAAATGAGTACAAATATATTTAAAAATATACTATTTATATCATATAAAATAAACTATAGTTTTTTCTTTTTATAGTTATTTCTTTATTTTTTTGGTTACTATTCTAAGTATAAAGCCAATTAAAAAAAACCTCAATTTTTATCAATCACAAGTTTTAAAAATTGCAATCTATCACCTTTTTTCTATTATATAAAGATCCCTTAAAAATAGGGGGTGTTAAATAAATCCATCAATTTATAAAATTGACCCACCTTTGATGAAGAATATGGTAATCATGATGAATGTGGTTAATTTTCAATGGTTGTAAATCCAATAGTAGAGAAATGAATCTAGAATTTCCTTCCCTTCTCCCTTCCATGTTAGGATGGATGGGTTGATTTAATAAAAACTTGGGTCTATTTAACATTCACCTAATATTGTGCCAATTTATGGCTTCCTTTTAATTGTATATCAACTCCCAATATTTATGCTGCCAAAAATTTAACTTACCAGTTCACTTTTGGACAACCTTTGAAAGTGGACTTACAAGTACAAGAACTCCAAAGCGTCTTCTTATTATTGTCGTCAAATTATTGTGAATTGCAGGAAAACTAGCCACAAAAAAAATTAGAAACAAAAAAGATAATTCGAGGAAGGTTCTCAGGCTGAGCTGACACCGATGTTTTTTGAAGGACTGGTGGCAGTTTCCACGAAGCTTCAACATTCAACGTCGGTGACACTTGGTCGGAAGGTTCCTCTACCGACATCCATTCTGCGAAGACCAGAATACGTCGGCGATGCCGATCGAGTCAGTAGATGTTGCAGAAAGACCAGAGCGAACGGTGGGAGGACGACGGTGCGGTGATAAAAAAAAAAACAAAACAAAACACAAAAAAAAACCAATGCTAATGGTTCGATATTTCTGGATTGGGAGAATTTTCGAGCACAGCCTTAGTGTTCAAGGTTTTCCTTGCAAAGGATTTACAGCGATCAGGTTGTCGTAATTTTGATTACATTTCTGTGGATCAGATACTTAGATGGCTTGTAATGGGGGGAGGGTTTCTGTGCGACATCATAGAATCGCACAAAAAAACTAAGGGGAACATAGAGCGCACTTTCATGTAAGAGTTTTGGGGCCTGACGTATGTTGGGTGTCTGGATTTCCTTGGGTGTCGGCATTTCCGGAGATCTACTCTGTCTGTTCTGTTTTGTTTGGCTCGGAAGGGGAGGTTTGAAGGCTATCGTAAATCTGGATTAGATTCGTACATCGAAGAGAAGCGAGCAGCGATCACATTCAGGTTGTGCACGCCGTTCGAAGCAATGTGGGTATTGCACTTTCAAGCTGTGAGATTTTTCAGCTCATGAGAAAAGACTAGTTTTTCACCAATTTTGTTTGGTTAGAGTTCAAAATGGTTTTGACCTGCTGTTGCTGCTGCTGGAGGTTTGGGTGTCAGCAATACATGGTGCGGCGCAGAGAACTGATTCTTCCACTTCTGGCACACCACTATCATCACTGGCAGCTATTATGATGCAAGGATATTTCGTTGTGAACTGAAACGAAACATGTCCTCTATCTCTCTCGGAACCCGAGATTCGTAAGCTGCTCTTTAAAAACCAATTTTTTTCTTTTTATGATCACCCTCAAAGATCGATCAGAGTCTTCGTGTATGGCTGTGGTGAGACGTGTTCCCTTGAATATTACCATGCGCGTCTCCAACATCTAAAGCAACTTGATTGAGTGTCAAACTGCAGATCATAATCAGACAGCGGTAAGCCTCGGTTTTCGCTTGTGGCTTTCTTGATTCATGTTTCTCACTTCCTCGCCACTGTAGACCCTACGGTTTATGCCACTTGGGAAATAACTCGTGCAGATGTCTTTCTGGTTTTAACAATCACTTGCGAATTGTGAATTGATCTAACGTTCCTGACAGGGAACCTGAGGATGGTGCTGGAGGAGGAACGCAATTCTTTCAGAAGACGGATGATGTGTTAGCAGACGGTGCTGGAGCTTTTGCTATTCTCCTCCTTCTGGGGTCAGTATGGTGCTCGACAACACCGAGATTGCGGATAAGAGGCCGTACTATCCCAGCAGGAAGAAAAGGGGATTTGGCTACCAGTGGCGGCAAATTCACGGATTGATTTTCATCCGAACCTGATGTTCTCTCGGGAATTCAGCAAGGAAGATCAGCACCAATTCCCTGGTCGACAAGATTGTGAACGAAGGCCTACCTTTTAAACTGGTTCCTCTCAAACATGACGAACTCAATTCCAACCACGATTTCGTAGACACGCCTCTTGATTGAGTTAGGAACCTCTTGTGTCCCTGCTAACTTGCACTAATATTGCATCTCCATTGGTGTTTTCCAGAGTACCATGGAATTGGAGAATACTATGGTTGATACGTAAATGCACATTCCACCGCTGGGCTTTGGTTCTGTGGGCCTGATCAACCGCAACCGGAGGCTTGCACGCGGCCATCATCCGTAACTTGTAAAGGCTGCATGGCACCGGAGTGGGTGAAACCTCCTCCCATGACAATGGTGGACGTTTTACAGCCTTGTTGCAGTCACCCTGGAGCTTGTCAGTGGCAGTCGTTTCTCGAAATACGGTTCCAGTCTGGACCGGTGTTTCCTGTCTACCTCAGGATTTTGTCTGATCCGTTATCCTGACGGCGATGGCAATTCTGATGCTATTTCCGACCTCTTTGATCCCGCCCTCGATGTCAGGCATCTGCCTGCAACTCATCAGACAGTGCTCAATGACATGAATTACGTGGCTCTGTGGTGCATGCAAGTTGACACCGACGTGCGGCCTTCGATGCATGAAGTTGAAGAGAAGTCATTAGTGGTAACGGCGCCTTACTCCCCAACGCTGGATGTTTTGGAAGAGATGTACGTGCACAAATGAAGGATAGAGAGCACCAAAGAGCTTTTATGAACTCCATGCATTTCTGAAAGAATCCAGAAACGCCGCTGAGGTGACGATCTCCCCTTGAAAAATTGGATCGATTCTTGTCTAGACACCTGATGATTTTACACTGTCAACCGTTAAACATCATCTTTGTCGCTCTGCTGGAGTTAGAACTCAAGCATATAATCATACAAGACCTCGGAATGCAATTCAGCTTGCTGGGTTAGACTGATCCGATCATCACATGTGCACGCTGCAACCAAACTTACAATCCAAGGGTGATACCCTCACCCCCAACAACGAATAGTAATCTCGAGCTGGGTTGTTCCGCTCTCGGCATCTTTTGATTGATAGCAGTTTGGTAACAGTTTGTTAGTAATTGAACCTCTTATGAAATATGTTCTTGCACATGAGGGCACCGATGACGTTCCACAAGTGCACCAACAGGAGGCTTAATTTTATTTTTGATAACAGTCCATCAATTGTAAGTGATTGATGGGTTAAGTTGAAGGATAAGGGGGCGAGTTTGAGTAAGTTTTAGAAAAGCGCCTCGACGGCTCCACAAAATGTGATGCATTGTTAGTAGACTGGATTCTCCTCTTGGATTTTTTTGAGCTGGAGCAGAAACTGCCGAAGATGTTTCAGTTCTATTTGGTCCTTGCTTTACAATTTCAGTTGGAGCCCT